GGGGAATTCTGGGAGTTGAAGTCCACACCTCTTAAAGTTGCCAAGGTTGAGAAACACTGGAAGGCTTTGGTTTCCTTGTCCGGTTTATCTTGAAGGGCTGACACAATCATTCATTAGTTAAATTAAATAAATGAGAGAGATACTGGGTCTGATCCAGCCTACCTTTCTTGACCTCCTTAGCCAGGAGGGGATGGCTCTGGAAAATCCAGACCAGAAGCTGGAGGGAGAATGGAATAAAAGCCCACGGTTTGGCAGATCTTTCCTTGGAGAGGGGACGTTGCCATCTTCTGATTTTGCTGGCGCCGAGGAAAAAGCGACCTTCTTAACCAGCTCCATGAAAGCCTTATAGCAATCTGTAGACTCCGGTTTGGTTCATGTTCACCTTGTTTAGTTTTGGGGCGTTTTTTGCTTGGAGGTGTGGTGCAAACCCAACCTGGCAGCTTGAATCACCCCAGAAAAGTGTCCTGTGAAGGTGGCTATTTGGGGCAGGAACGGAAAGTGCAGACAGCTAAACAGGAACAACTATGTTGGGCCGCAGGAAAGAGTTGAGCGCAGGAACAAATTGTACGTTTGGAGAATTAGAGCCGATTCCCCCTTTTGCGCCCCGCTCTGCCCTCTGCCAACGATTAACATATTTCTTGGCATCTCCTCTTTCCTTTCTGTCCTCTTGTCTCACCCCGTGCCAGGCGGCCTTCAGATCGAAAGCAGCGAGGAGACGGACCAGGGTAAATATGAGTGCGTCGCCAGCAACAGCGCAGGAGTGCGCTATTCGTCGCCCGCCAACCTATACGTGAGAGGTAGGGAGCGCCGTGACTCACAAGAATGGCAAATGTGACCTGCGCCCGCCCCTACACGCATGCACGCCAACCCGCCAGTGTCCTTCGTGAGCTTTTTCTTGCCTTTTTACCAGACCGAAGAAGTGGGGTTGGACTCATCTCTCATGGGGAGGAAACTCACACCATGATCCAGAGAGGGCTGGAGGAGGGAGAACCAAACTCTGTGAAAATTGGCCATCATGGACAGAAGGAGGACTGTCTAATAAGACCATGTTCAAGGAGAATGTGGGATACTGGATAGACAGCCCAGAATGGGCAGCTTTCTTAAGCCGGGGCCATCCCCAGCAATTTGGGGCAGGATTGTCCTTAGGCGGGTTTGGGAAGGAGAGAACCACAGACGTGGACACCTCCGACTGAAGCTCTCAGTGCCAAGAGCTTCTTCAAAGATGATCCTGCTCCACCTTAGACGAGGTGCCAATGTTCAGTCTGGGGGCTGAACCTCTCTGCGTTTCAACTCTGAACGTTGTTACTAAAGTCCTGTAGGAAGGTTCACTTGGAAATAGGTGAAGAATGCAGGTCCTGTCTCCAGCACCCGCTTAGACCATGGTGAACCCACCCAGATGCCTCACCTTGGAAGACAGGGAGCGCATCTCACCAGGAGAGAGCAGAGGTTTCACTGACTTCCTCCTTCACAAGGACATTATCCAGGGTCAAGGAAGAGCCACGCTGGTGTAAACTCGGTTCTAAACAGTTGGCCTTTCTTTGAACGCAGATAACTCGCTAGAAGAGTTTTCTCCATTTTGTTGGTGCCTTCCGGTTTTCTTGGGGGCACAATTGAGACTTCCCTCCCAGGGGACGGGTGCCCCTTGGCAGAAGGCGGCATTTGCCTGTCTAGGAACGAATCTGCTGGATTTGAAACCCAGACTGCCCCCTCTTCCTTCCCACTCCTTTGTTTCCTTGAGACTTGACCTCCCTGCCTTTTCTTCCAAAAGATATAGGCTAGATTTACAGTGTTTCTCAACCTTGTTGAGAAAGTTGGAGTGACTTGCTCCGTGCAAAGGCTAAAACAAGATTGGCCTTTTTAATTTATTTTTGCCAGAAGGACCAGGCGGATCCCACCCCGGGCGAAATGCAAAGGGTTGATGCTGGTGTTCTGAACTAGGCTCAGCCTAAAGTGAAGGTGCTGGAGGATCCCAAGACTTGGGCCAGCCCTGCTATCGGGCAAAGTAAAACATCCCCTCCAGAAGCAGAAAGAAAGTGTTGAAATAGGGCCACTCCGCTGGACTTCCAGCTTCCCAGCCAGCGAGCCTGCTCCATTCCTACTTCTTCCCAAGAGTTGGATCTCCCACAGAGGAGGCTCTGTATCCCAAGGGTGCAATACATTGCAAGTTCATTGGTTCACCTTCTGGACATGACATTTGGGTAGCAGAAGGTTGAGCTGGCTCTGATTAAAGCCGCTGAGAGCCTAAGACGCCTGCCTCCCTTTTGCAAGGCGCCTTGCGAGCCCAACAGAAAAGTGCCCAGCCCTTCCCTAACCAAGATTTTGCTTTCAAAATACTCACCAGCAGTAAGCTAGAGATGGACCTAAGATGCAAGATGGGCAGGTTGTTGAGAATATGTGGAAGAGCAGTGGCTTTGCCTTCCTCTAGCCTACCAAAAAGCAGAACCACGCATTTCCAACAGTTTAACTGGCAGCTTCCATTCCCATCTAAACCGGATCGGTGCATTTCCCCAGCACGGACCTACCTCTTTGAATCTGGCTGAATGTCTCCCCTCATTTTTTTTTTTAAAGTAGGGGTGTTTTTAGAAGTTCCAATAGCTTTTTGTTTCCCCCCCTTCAAAAAGACACAAGCTACTGCTTGCTATGTAGAAGACAAACCAGCAGTTTGATGGGCTGCTAAATGTTTTAAAAATCACGGCCGGCCACAATGAAGTTGTCGGGGGCTTCGGTGTTTACCCATAAGTAGCCTTTGCCTTCAGATCACTGGTTCAGAAGTCATTCCAGCAAATGTCACTTTTTCCTCCTGATTTTTTTCCCCTTCCCTTCCCTTTGCATCTATGCCCAATTTTGAAAGAACTGCATTTGTTACGGTTTATTGTCGTGATAATATGGACTTATATATTGTTTCTGTAACTTATGTCTGTTTGGAGTTCGGGGTTAATGCCCAAAAGGATGAGATGTAGTTTCTGGTGCAAATCTTCATGACTTCTCTCCCCTGATGACAGTCTCTGAAGTCTTAAGAATGAGCCGGGGGGTAATTTGAATTCTGGAATGGAGAAATTTCCCGCTGCAGAAAATGCTGGGTTGTAAAGCTGCCCTGAAATCTTGACCAGAAATTTTTTTAAAAATCCTATGAGAATTCACACTTGGTGGGTGTAGCGGGACCTAGTGGCGCCGTACAAGGATTACAGGTGTTTGAGCGCTAACAAGTGTGAATGAGAAATTAACTGCTCCAAACTTAACTGGGCAAGTTAAACCAGCACACCACACCCTGCCTGTGCAAATTAACTCAAAAACCAGTTCGATCCGAATCCCTATTCTAAAAGGCAGGGGGTTGTGGAGATGGTCACCCCAGTTTAAAACGGGGACCTATTTCCGCTAAGCGAGCTCTAGCTGACATGCATGTTGCTTTGGGTTGGTATCTCCCAAAGGATCGATTTCTTTTAGGGGGGGTGGAAAAGGGCCAGATATGACAGCTGGGGTGGGCGGGGGACTTCTATGCCTTGTTTTTCCCTCTTCGTTGTCGCTGCACTCAAAAAGTCTTGACGTTTTTCTAATTGTTTCTCCCCTAACTTGCTTGTTTTTTCTAATGACTTTCGGGGTTTGTTTTGGGGGGAGGGAATAGGAGCGCAAGTGTTCATTTCCTTTCCCTTTGGGGCTTTTCTTTTAACAGCAAAAGGGGCCTGGTTCCTCCCCTCCCCTTTTCTTTTTCTGTAAGTTTGTGCGGGGAAGAAGAGTCAAAGGTATGGGTGTTCGAAGCATGTCCACATGGGTGCTAGGCTCCCCCGCCCCACCCCTTCCTGTCCAGTTTGGCAAGATGGGGCTAATCCAAACGTACGGAAAATTGCATTCTCCTCCCCCCTCCAAAGAATTTGTCTTGGGTTGGAATTCGAGGGTCCGCCTTCCCCCCAGGCTGGAATTTTTGCTAGCTCTGCCAGATTTGGCGGCTCCATTGCAAGGCACGGTTTACAGCCACGGTCCCATCCTGGCTTCCGGGGTGCGGCTCCCAAACCCATGAGGACATGCCTTGAAGGGGTCTCAGGATCTTACTGGCCCCTGCTGAGACCGGTGCCTTAAATATTTTGGAGGACTGCGGAAGAGATCTAACCAACGGTGAGGACCCCGCGGTGATGGTGGTGGGAGCCAGGCTGGGTGCCCCGCTCTGCTTGTTCATCTTTCTTTCCTTCCGCCACAGGGGGATGGCCCCATGGTGATGTGGGGGAGAAGGGGTGGGCCATCCAGGGCCGCCGGGGGGACTTCTGAGTTCTTGGGAGGGGGCTCCTCTGAACGGGCACGGTGCCACCCCGAGCCCTCTTTCCACGAGGCGCCCCCTCCCCAGAGACCTTAAGCGTTCCCGGGCCCTCTTCTCGGTGGCCCTGATGGTTCGGAACGAAAAGGGACGTATTTGAGATTTTTTTAAAAGTTTTTTTTTTCCAATTAATTTTTTTTTAAGTTAAAGACGGAAAGAAAGAGAAAGCGATCGATTTGCAGTTGCCAGGCTTGAAGGCCTTTTTTTACTCTCTCTGTGTTTCCCCTATTTTTTCTCTTCTCATGTCATTGTGTTCCGCATCAAACCCCTTTAACATCCCTCAGAGCTACGAGAAGGTTGGTGTGGTTTTTTTTCTTTTTTACTTTCTTTACCCACATTTTTACATTTCTTAAAGAGAGAAGTATATATCGATATCTATATCTATCTTTTTTTTGTTTTAAATAAATAAATAAATAAATAAATAAATAAATAAAGCGCTATATATGACAAATATATTTTTAAAAAAAAGAAAAGAAAAATTGAAAAAAAAAAAAGAGAGAGAGAGAGAGAAAGAGAGAAAGCAAGAAATCTCGGTAGATCAAAAGATGGCGAGCGAGATCGGCTCGTTCTCGGGTCTCGCCGGAGATGAGTTGAGTTGCATTGTGGGCCTCTCTCTGCATCCTTTGGTAATGTTGCTGCGTTATGTGCACCTTTCTGTCGTCCTATTTATCTTGCCGTATGGACATTTGGGCTTGATGCATGATAGGAGAATGTTAACAATGATCTTTGCATGCTGGTCTTTTTCGGTTTTATATTTGGTTTTTTGGCTTCGGTTCTTTTATTTTTAAAATTTTTACTTTGGGGGGGTTGGTTTGGTTTCAGTTTTTCCAATTGTGTGTGTGTGTGTATCTCTCTCTATATATACATTTTTAATTTTTACTTTTTACCAAAAGAAGATATTTTGTGTTTTGTTTTTCAGTGGGTTTTCCCCTCCAATTTATCCCTTCCTAGTTCTCGATTTGTTTGTTTATTTTTTGCTTTTGGTTTTTTTTTCTCTCTCTCTTTTTTTTTTTAATGCGTTGATTTTGATTTTTGATTTTTTGATGTTTTGAGTTGGTTCTGCTATGCTGCAATTTATTCCAAATGCATTGTGAAAAAAAGCCAGTGTTCCTGCTTCTCTTCCCCCCTCCAATTCTACCCTGTTTCCCATTCCTTTGATAACTTAAATTATCTGCAACGCAGAATAACAAACATCACACAGCTCTAAATGCCTGCTTCCTGAATTCAACGCAAGACGTATAGCACACAGGCGGCTCGGCACCTGGTGGGGTTCCCTGAACTGAGTCCGGGGAGTGGGAAGTGTGTTTTAGGAACACCGAAAAGGGGGCCGTTTGCCCAGCTGACTAACCTCCAGGAGGCTAAATTCAGTCCCAAACAGAGCTGGTCCTGCATTGCATTGTATTCACTCCATCAGTATGTTCTGTTGGGGCAACACCGAACCAGGGGGAAGACTTTCCCTGTCTGGTCCTCCATGAAACAGAGCTGAACACACAGAATGTCAGGGACTGCAGGCCTCTCTCGAGCAGAACTCTATGGCAGCCAAGGCGGGGCAGCACTCCCAGACCCTGATTGGCTGCTGCTTCCTTCCTCCCTGACCAATGGGAAGGAGGTAGCAAGTGGGATGAAGCCTTGCCAGAACCCTCTTGTTGCAAGGGCTCATGGGATACTAGGCAAAGGAAGGAGAGGTGGCAGTAGAAACGAATGCAATAAATACATAAGTTTGCAAGTCCCCACATTGTGGCTTTTGATGCCGTCCGTGGCACTGGGTGCTCAGAGCACTTAGCAAGGATGATTTGACTGGGTTAGCGACTGACTGGGTTAAGCATGTTCTGGAAAGAAATCCACAGCGTATTTATATTATTGCACGAATTCTTTGTTCATGCGATCCGTTTGACCCCGGCAGTCCTGATAGGCTTTCTGTGTTGGTTGCTTTGGAATCTGGTGGCGAGACGGGTGGCCGTACAAATCAAAGTTCGGTGACCACTTTAACAGTCAGGAGCGGTTCATTAGCAAAGCGATAATAAGAAATGCGTATATTGGTCCTATTTCTGCAACACGGTTGCTGCGATCACACCACTCCACTGTGGTTTGGCTAACTGCTTTTTTAGATAAACCATGGTTTGGCTAATAAAGGTTTCGTAGATAAATCATGGTTTAGCTAACCCTGCGTTTGTGGAGAAACAGTAGTTGCCTGGATTCACCCCCACCACCTAAGCCATAAACTCTGGTTTGCCAAGCCACACTAGGGCTGCGTTTACACCACACTGAAGACACAAACGGGGCACAGCCCATGTCTGTTTCCGTAAAAAAAGCTTGCCCCACAAGCACGGCCGGTCATTTTTGTCCCGTCCCCAACATGAATTTCCGTTCCAGTGAGAACAAACCACAGTTTAGGCTGGCCGTCTGCATGCATTTGTGTGAAATGTGCGGACAGCGCCTTGCTTCCGTTTACCACTAGAGTAGAAGAGCCCGTTTCTGAGCAAAGAAGGGAGAAGTTGCCATCTCTTCTTGAAACGCATCATTGAAATTATGGCTTTCTTTTTTTTTTAAGGATGTCAGAATTTGAGTAAAATTTCCATGCAAAACAAAACCGCTTCTGTTGAAACTAGGAAAGGCGCTGTTAAATCATGGTGTGGAGATTTTTGGAATAATTCTTCTGGCAGGCCTTAAAATTCTGATTCCCTCAGGAGTGTCTGCAGGGCGTGGACCTGCACAAAACACGAGGGAGCTTCGATTGCATCATCAAGGCCACCGTCTTGACTTTTTTGACCTTGCCCTGTGGATACTCTTGGATGTAATCCTAATGAGAGAATACTTGCAGGGTTTCATTTAGGTCACACTGCGCATCCACAGGAAAGGCTTCTAACAAGGGATTGGCAGAAGACAAATCCTCTTTTTTCTGTTCAAAGGGGTAGGAAGACATAACTGCATCTTGTGCCGCATTAGAGAGATCTTTGACGCCCATCTTCAATCACCCATTGCTCAGAGAGGGAACATAAATAAATGAACTGGCCTCAACCAGGGGGTGATTTTAAGGGCCAAAGTGACAGGTTAATGGATTCCACCAGTTTTGCTCTGTGCTCCAGAAACTCTAGCTCCTGAACATACACAGAGTACCTTTCCTTTGGGAGAGAAAGCAACTTTTGTGAAATCAGTTAAACCCTCCCAAAACTTTGGCAGCCAGGTCCAGCAGGTTCTTCCCTTGACCCTTACTTGTTTGATTAGAGTTACTGTACTTTGTAGAAGGCAGCCAATGTTTAAAAAAAAAAAAAACTGTAAATGCATCTTTTGCATCTTCTTTTTCACATGGATCTCTTTGGTCAACCTGCTAGGCATGCAGACAGGTGAGGCCTAGGAAATTATTTTGGTGCATTGAAGTAGTGAAGCCTGGCGACTTCATTCAGTCCTTCCCACTTCCTACTGTTGCAGCGTCTCTGCAAGATATTTTTGGGTGTTATTTTCCTCCCAAAATGCACGAGGCTTCAGCATGGTTTGTGGGCTTACATCGCAGACTCCATGATAGTCTGACTGACAGGTGTTCCCCGCAGCCTGCATCATTTAAACCCAGCCCATGTCCCACATTTCTTGCCAACATATTTCTTTTTCCCATTAGATCAACCTTGGCAACTTTGAAGATGTGTGGACTTCAGCTCCCAGAATTCCCCAGCCAGCCATGCTGGCTGGGGAATTCCGGGAGTGGAAGTTAACACAACTTAATATTTCCAAGGTTGAGAAACACTGCTTTAGATATTGTCAGGATTCTGATAAGGAAAGGAACATGCAGTTCAAACCAGCTTCTTTTCTTTTTATTCGATAGATAGATACATAGATAGATGGATAAGACAGACATATAGATAGATA